AGAATAAATTTAACTGAGTAGGTGAAAAACCTTTACACTGAACACTGTAAGAGATTGATGAAAGAGATTGAAGAAGACAAAATAAATGGAAATATATCCCATATTCTTGGGTCAGATGAATTAATACTGTTAAATGTCCAGAATACCAAAGGCCATCTAGAGATGCAATGCAACGCCTATAAAACATCAAAAACAACTTTCCACAAAGTTTTCAAAATCCTAAAATCCAAACTGAACCACAAAAAGACTCCTGATAGCCAAAGCAACCCTAAGAGAGAAAAACAAAAAAGAGAGGCATACTGGTTTTAAACTATACACAAAACCACACTAATCAAAACAATATGATATTGGAATAAAGGCAGACACATAGATGGAAAAGTATAAAGAGCCCAGAAATAAACCCATATATGCATATTTGGTCAATTAATTTTCAAGAAAGAAGAATGTATAATGGGACATGATAGTCTTTTCAATAAATGGTGCCAGGAAAAACTGGTAGTCACATGCAAAGGCATGAAACTGGACCATTATCTAACGTCATACATAAAATCAACTCAAAATCAATGAAAGACTTGAATGTAAAACCTAAAACCTTAAAAATCCTGAAAGAAAACAAAGGGTTAAGCTTCTTAGCATTGGTCTTGGAAATGATTTTTTTGATTTGACACCAAAAGCAAAGGCAATCAAAGGAAAAATCAACAAGTGGGATTACATGGAACTAAAAAGCTTCTGCACGGCATAGGAAACCATCAGTAAAATGAAAAGGCAACCTACTGAATGGTAGAAAATAGAAAATATTTGGAAACCACACATCTGATAAAAGTTAACAACCAAAATATATAACAAACTCATACAACTCTATAACAGGAAAGAAAATCCCATTTTAAAAAGAACAGAGGAATTGAATAGATATTTTTTTTCCAAAGAAGAAATACAAATGGCCAACAAGTACATGAAAAGGTGCTCAACATGACTAATCATCAGGGAAATGCAAATCAAAACCAAAATGAGATACCATCTCACACCTGTTAGAACAGCTATTCTGAAATAAAAGATAACAAGTGCTGGAGAGGATGTGGAGGAAAGAACATTTATGTATTCTTTGTGAGAAGCTAAATGTATGCAAATAGTATGCAAAACAGTATAGTAGTTTCTCAAGAAATTAAAAATAGGACTACCATATGGTCCAGCAATCTTCCTTTTCGGTATATATCCAAAGGAAATGAAACCATGACCTTGAAGACTCCCACATTAATTCCAGCATTATTCACAGCAGCCAAGGTATAGAAGCAACCTCTCTGTCAATGAATGATTGGGTCAAGAAAATATGGTATACACAAAAGAATTCTATTCAGTCTTAAAAATGAAGAGAATCCTGACATTTTTAACAACATGCATAAACCTAGAGGGTAGTTATACTAAGTGAAATAAGCCAGACATAGACAGGCAAATATTGCATGGTATACCTGTGTGCAGGATCTTAAAAAAAAAAAAAAAGTTACATTCATAAGACATAGGGTAGCAAAATGGTGGTTGCCAGGGCCTGGGGAGTAGGGAAAATAAAGATAGTTTGGTAAAAGGGTATCAACTTCCTGTTATAAGACGAATAATTTCTGAGAATCTAATGTATAATGTGTAACTATAGTTGATAACATTGTATTATATAATTTAAATTTGATAAGAGAATAGAACTTAAATGTTCTCATTGAAAAAGCAAGTAAATATACAGGTGACAAGTGTATTAACTAATTGAAAGGAAGGAATCTTTTCACAATGTATACATATATCAAATCCTCACATTGTATACCTTAAATATCTTACATTTTTGTCAACTGTACCTCAAAAAAACAGCATGGTGATGGCATAAAAACAGACACCTAGACAAACGGAACATAATTGAGAGCCCGGAAGTAAATCCAGATAAGATGAACTAATTTTTGATAAGGGAGCCATTAATACTCAGTGGTGAAAGGATAATCTGTATAGGCATATCTTGGAGATATTACAGGTTCCGCTCTAGAACACTACAATAAAACTAATATCACAATAAAGTAAGGCAAATAAGTTTTTGATTTCCCAGTGCATATAAAAGCTTTCTTTACACTATACTCTGTTAGGTGTGTAATAGCATTATGTCTAAAAAACAATGTACATATATTAATTTAAAAATACTTTATTGCTAAAAAATGCCAATTTTCTGACCTTTCTAGTGAATCATGATCTTTTTGCTGGTGTATGGTCTTGCCTCAATGCTGACAACCGCTAACTAATCAGGGTGGTACTTGCTGAAGGTTGGGATGGCTGGATGTGGCAATTTCTTAAAATGAGACAATAGTTTGCTGTAACAACCAACTCTTCCATTCATGAAGGCAGAATAAGAAAATAATTATAATACCATCAAAAAGAATAAAGTATAATAAATTTTACAAGATGCACAAAATTCTGAAAATCAGAAAATATTGTTGAAAGACATTAAAGAAAATCTAAATAAATTTTGTAGATCCTTGTGAATTTGAAGTCTTGATATTTGTTAAGATGGCAATACTACCTAATGTGATCTACAGATTCAATTAATATCTATCAGAATCACAGGTAGTATTTTTGTAGAAACTGAAGTGACCCTAAAATTTATTTGGAAACATAACGTGAAAACCAAAATATTCAAAACAATCTTGAAAAAAAAAATAACGTTGGAGGACTCTTCTCTCTTTCTAAACTTTTTTTTTAAAGATTTATTTATTTATTTATTTATGATAGATATAGAGAAAGAGAGAGAGAGGCAGAGACACAGACAGAGGGAGAAGCAAGCCCCACGCCGGGACCCCGACTTGGGACTCCAGGATCGTGCCCTGGGCCAAAGGCAGGTGCCAAACCACTGAGCCACCCAGGGATCCCTTCTTTCTAAACTTCTACAAACTAAAGATGCTGTGGGCTTAGGAAAGATAGACCTATACAACGATGAAATAGAATGAGTCCAGAAATACACCTTTATATGTAAAGCCAATTGATTTTCAACAAGGGTGCCAAAATAACTCAATAAAAAAAAAAAAACACAATCTCTTCAACAAATGGTACTGGAATATCCACTGTATATCCACATGCAAAAGAGTAAAGTTGGGCCCTACCTCACAGTATATGCAAAAATTAAAAGGGATCAAAGGCCCAAATATAATACCTGAACATTAACACTATTAGGAAAATCAGAAGAATAAGTCATTGTGACCTTGGATGAAGGAATGGTTTCTTAGACGTGACACAGCACAAAGGTAACAAAAATAGATAAATTGGACTACATCAAAAATTTAGACTTTTGTGTTTCCATGGGCATCATCAAGAAAGTAGAAAGACAATACCCATAATGGAAGAAAAATATTTACACATCTTATAATCAAAAATTTAGACTTTTGTGTTTCCATGGGCATCATCAAGAAAGTAGAAAGACAATACCCATAATGGAAGAAAAATATTTACACATCTTATAATGGGGCTTAATCCAGAACATATAAAATCTCTCATAATTCATCAGTAAAAAAGACGAATAATAGATCAAAATGGGCAAAGGATTTAAAGACAGTGTTCTCCAATATATATATATATATATGGTCAATAACACATAAAAAAGCTATTCATTAAAACTAGCCATTAGGGAAATGTAAATCAAAACTACTATAAGATATGTCTTCACATCCATTAAGGTATCCATAATTAAAAAGACTGACAATAAAAAGTGTTGACAAGAATGTTGAGAAATTAGAACTCTCATACATTGCCAGAGGTAATGTAAAATGCATTAGCCAGTTTGGAAAATATTTTTCAATTCCTTTAAAATTTAATCATAAAAATTCAAATAAACAGCTAAACTAAAAAGAAAAAAAATCTCTTCAGTTTGCGTTTTTCTCTCTTCTGCTACCATCCTTTCTTCATTTCTCTTTATCTCAGCTCTCATGTCATAATATGATCATATGGAATGCAATCTATTTAAAACTCACTCTTGTATTCCCTAGCAAATATTTTTCCAAAACACATCCTTGTCTAATTATGATTGATGCTCATCTCTTACATTTATGTTATCATTTCGTGTTTTTTTATTTTAATGTATCTGAATGACAGTAAATCTTACAATATTTGCCTCAAAACAATGTAATAAGTTCCGTAATATCGTAAATGTGTTTATAAGCATGCAGAATCATCCTCCTAAATTTTGAGTTGGAAGCATGGATTTGTGCCTTTATTTCCTAAGTTTAATGCTAACACAACCTGAGGAAGATACAGAGAATAATGAAAATTTACTCAGGGCCAAAAAGAAAATTTTGATTCTATATATATTTGTTCTGAGTTTGTTAGAATCAAGGCAATAGAGACAGGTAGTTCCCCAAATCTCAATTTTAAAATTTTTTATCTGCTCTTTAGCCAGAACAAAATGTTGTCATGTCCACAATAACACATCCTCAACATTGGAGGGAAAGAATCCATCTAGTCATTGTCAAATGGTTCTGAACCTAAAGATGTAAATGTATTTAAATAGATGAAGGGTCATGTAGGAATGTGTATAACAATTTACACGGTTTATGATACTGGTATTAACTGAGACTTCTTTATTTCTGTGTTTCCTTTTTGGTTTTAGTGAGAGTCAGTCTCCATAAATAAAACCTTCAATATTTCAGTTGAAAACAATTTAAAAATAGGTATGGATGATGGTTTATACCATTTTTTAAATTTTTTTTTAAATTTTTATTTATTTATGATAGTCACAGACAGAGAGAGAGAGAGAAAGAGAAAGAGGCAGAGACATAAGCAGAAGGAGAAGCAGGCTCCATGCACCGGGAGCCCGACATGGGATTCGATCCTGGGTCTCCAGGATCGCGCCCTAGGCCAAAGGCAGGCGCCAAACCGCTGTGCCACCCAGGGATCCCAGGTTTATACCATTAAATAAAGAAAAATAGACCTGAAATTGAAGTGAATTCCTGTCTCTAGCCAGGTTAATGTTTCTTTCATGTTAGATTTTACAGATACAAAAAGAAATCTCTTCAATCTGTCACATTCTTGAGAATTTATGTAATCTTGATTGCTTGATTGATGGCTTTTCCTAATCTTCCACCCACCATACATGGGATGAGAGCGCCAGGGACAATACCCAACTGTCCACCTGGACTGGAATATTTGACTCAGGTATGGTAATATGTTTCTTAACTTATTCAAGTGGTAATAATATGAATTTGATAGTCTCAAAATACAGTTTGTGTTATACGAAAAAATTCTAACTGTAGATTAAAATACTATCCCTATAACATTAAGATTTTTACATTTAATTTTAATTTTTGATTGTAAATAATGTAACATTGTGGTTTACAAATGTATTTCCTGGGAAGTCCTTTTTTTTAATTTTTTAATTTTTATTTATGATAGTCACAGAGAGAGAGAGAGAGAGAGAGAGGAAGAGACACAGGCAGAGGGGGAAGCAGGCTCCATGCACCGGGAGCCTGACGTGGGATTCCATCCTGGGTCTCCAGGATCGCGCCCTGGGCCAAAGGCAGGCGCCAAACCGCTGCACCACCCAGGGATCCCGGAAGTCCATTTTTAAGTTAGGAAATTGGGGGCACCTGGGTGGCTCAGTCAGTTAATCATCTACTCTTGCTCAGGTCATGATCCCAGGGTCCTGGGATGGAGCCCCATGTCAGGCTTCCTGCTCAGTGGGGAGTCTGCTTCTTCCTCTCCCTCTGCCCCTCACCCTCCCTGTCACAGGCAGCCCCAGAAACTCTTTGTTGATTCAGAGTGTTTGCAGAGAAATGCAATTAAACTCTGGTAGTGTGGTATTTCTCACTCTTTCACACACTCACACACCTCTCCCAGTGTTCAGGAAAAAGCTAGAAAACCAACAGTAAAACTAGAAAGGAACCAAAAGCTTTGAGGCCAATAGCCTCAACTTAGAAGATGCCTTTGACTCCATACCCATTGTATTCAATACAATAAATATTTAAACTCTTCATGCACATGTAATACCTGCTCCTGCTTCCATTGTTTTAAGCTCATTTGTCTTTATGGTAGTCACGTTTGTCTTTGATAGCTACATGCTAAAAAGGCACTTTTATCAATAAGGTTTCTCAGAACATTTACAAAACTAGCTTTGAGGAAATCTAGATAGTTCTTTGCAGCAGCATTTGGATTAGTCATTGTATTTTCTCACTATGATGTTGGTCTGTGTAAATAACCAATGAAGAGATTCTTCAGTTCATCATTTTTTTGTTTTGTTTTTTTTTTAGTATAGTTGATATACAATGTTACATGGATTTCAGATGTATAACTTAGTGATTTGACGAAGTTGTACATTGTGCTATGTTCACCCAAGTGTAGCTATCATTTGTCCTATTACAACCACTGCTATCATTATGTCATTGACTATATTCCTTATGCTGTGCCTTTTATTCCTGTCACCTATTCATTACATAACTGGAAGTCTGTATCTCCCATGCCCTTTTATGCATTTTTTAAAAGACTTTATCTATTCATGAGAGACAGACAGAGAGAGAGAGAGAGAGAGAGAGGCAGAGACACAGGCAGAGGGAGAAGCAGGCTCCACGTAGGGAGCCCAATGCAGGACTCAATCCCAGGTCTCCAGGATCATGCCCTGGGCCGAAGGGTGATGCTAAACTGCTGAGCCACCGGGCTGCCCTCCTTTTATGCATTTTGCCCAACTTCCCACACCCTACTCCTGTCAGGCAACCAATACAGTTCTCTGTATCTATAGGTCTGATTCTGCTTTTCATTTGTTTATTCATTTGTTTGGGGTTTTTTTAGATTCCACTTATGAGTCAAATCATATGGTATTTGTCTTCCTCAGTCTGACTTATTTCACTTAGTAGAGACCCTGTAGGTCCATCCATGTTGTCTCAAATGGCACAATTCTATCTTTTTTATGGCTGCATAATATTTCATTGTATATACAGATATATATCACATTTTCTTTACCCATTTGTCTATTGATAGACACTTGGGTTGCTTTCATATCTTGGCTATTATAAATAATGCTGCAATATGCATAAGGGTGCATATATATTGTTTTTATTTTTAGTCTCTGTGATCCACCAGTGGCAGAGGGTTCTAATCCCTCTCTTTTCTTTTTTCATTTGTCTATTCATAGGATTACCAAATAAAATACAAGACACTTAGTTACATATGAATTTCAAGTAAACAAATACTTTTTAGATTAAGCATGTTTCATGCATTATTTGACATATATTTATAGGAATAATTATTCATTATTTAACTGAAATTCAAATTTAACTCAGCATTCTGGGCTTTTTGCTTTGTTTTGTTTTGTTTTACTAAATCTGGCAACCTTATCAATTTGGTCACAGAAAACCACTTGCAGCACGTAAGTTCTTCTAGTCTTCACTATCTTTCACATGGAATGGAAGACTGTTTTTCCCTCACTCTTTACTTTCCAAAAGAGAGCCTCAAAGAACTTTATCTGTTTGCCCATGAAAGGCTTAGATTTCTATTTAAGACATCTATATAATTATATTTAACCTATTGTTTTTCTTTGGCTAAATGTCTAACTGTACTTGTAATTGTTTAATATTACATAAAAATATTTTTAGAGTATACTGTGTATGGATAGCTTAAAAAACACTTCACACTTAAGACTAGTATATGACATTTGACAGGAAAAAAATAAGAGATGTTGATAATGGATCAATTATTTCAAATATCCTAAATATAGGCATCAATATATATGTGTATTGGTAGGTGCTTTAAGTTTAGTTTAACTACTTCATACCACCTATCTTTATTTTCTACTCTGTTAGATAAATCAGTTACTAGTGTGTCAACGTTTTGATCTTCTGGAAGGTATGTGCCAAACACACTGATATATTCACTCTTGAATATTTCTTGTGCTATAGTTCAGTCACTCCTTATAAATTAAAGTGCTTCATGTGTCTGGGTAAAAATAAATCTTGAAATATGAACAGAATATATAGACACGTAGAATATGTGACTCACAGTTGATGACAGGATAAATGCAATAGTAATCTTCTCATGGAAAAAGACAAAGATAATGGCTCCGGATCACTCTTGAAAATGTTAATCTGCATTTTTGTTTTGCTAAACAGTAGGTCTATTTCCTGAAAGGGTTTTCCCATCCTAAATTCCTCATATACAGGTATTTCAGAGAAGCAGTGGTTCCATATCCTTCAGGAATTCTGCTAGTAGAAGAATGCAAGTAAGTTTCTGGGCAGTCCAATTTCACTCCCATTCTTTAGAATACAACTGTTTACCTCTATCTCCTCAGTTTAGTACAAGTATTTCTTTCATGTATATGAAGCTATAATACATGCAAATGAAATGAAATCAGAGTTTAGTTAAAAAATAGTTATCCCTATTGTGACATTGTATATATGCATTAGAAGATCTGAGACTAAAATAGACATTCGTGGTTTGATTTAATTCATGAAAGCTTTTAACTTTAAGCATATTATAAATGAATGTTTTCTTCAGGTTTTTCCTGCTGCCCTACACTGAATTATTTATTTTATGAATAACCAGAATCCCCACTGAGTACCTATAATGGACAAGACATATGCTAGCAATTTTGAGAAAATCAAAGAATAATCAGACCTGGGCTTTCCCTGAAATATAAGTGAATATACTTAAATAAACACACAGCATGAAGTCATAAAAGTCATGGAAGAAGGAAAATAGCAAAAATATTGAGAAAAATCTAACTATCCATGTTATAGGGAACTAATTCTCCAAACCAGTTATTCTCAACGTATGGTTGCCAGACTGCCAGCATGAACATCACCTGGAAACATGTTGGAAATCAAATCCCAGGCTTCATCACAGACCCACTAAATCACAAAATCCAGAGGTGGAGTTCAACTATCCGTGTTTTATCAAGTCCTCCAGATGGTTCTGATGCAGGCTAAAAATTTAAGAACTACTGCTCCAAGTATTACTTTCACATAATTTAACATGGTGCATTTATTTAATAGAATGAGACAGCTCTGTAGAATTGTCAGGAACTCCATGATATATTGCTAAGTATAAAAAGCAATTACAGAGTAGTACATATAAAAGTGGGTTTCTTTAGGTTTGTATATAATACATTTAGGCTTTGCATATGTTTGAGATATCTAGAGATATGTATCTAGAAGGATACATATAAAATTGGAGAAGAGAAAAATAGAGTAGGCCAGGAAGAAAGAATTATTTTTAATTTTATACCTTCTTTTGCATTTTTTTAAAGATTTTATTTATTTACTCATGAGAGACACAGAGAGAAAGGCAGATACTTAGGCAGAGGGAGAAGCTGGCTCCCTGCGGGGAACCTGATGTGGGACTCAATCCCAGGACCCTGGGATCAGGACCTGAGCCAAAGGCAGACGCTCAACCGCTGAGCCACCCAGGTGCCCCTTCTTTTGCATTTTTAAATCTGTGTCATGTATATGTGATTTCTAGTCATAAAAATGAATTAAGTTTAAAAGACAAAATATTTTTTCATAAATCTTGAATCATGGTTTATCTTTGAATATTAAATAAAAATGAATATCTTTCAGGGTATCAGGGTGGTTCAGTCGGTTAAGAGGCCAACTCTGGATTTCGGGTCAGTTCATGATCTTGAGTTCATGAGATAAAGCCATGAGTTGACCTCTGTGCTCAGTGGGGTGTCTGCTTGAGATTCTCTCTTTCCCTCTGCTCCTCTTGTCCTGCACACACACACATTGTCTCTCTCTCAAATAAATAAGTCTTAAAAAATGAATATCTTTCAAATATGTTTATATAATACAAAAACATATGTTTATATAATACAAAAACATATTTGAGAGACACATTGTCTCTCTCAAATAAATAAGTCTTAAAAAATGACTATCTTTCAAATATGTTTATATAATACAAAAACATATATAAACATATATGTTTATATAATAACAAAACATTTATATAATACAAAAACATGTTTATATGCCAAAAAAATCATTAAAAATGAGGAAATTCTGTAGCTGTTTCAAAGGTTAACATTAAAACAAAATGGTAAATGTATATTACAGTAACATATTCATTAAACATACTCATTCAAGAACACCTAAAATTTTAAAAAGTAGGAGAAAAATATCATCCATGCACAACTACCAATACATTTCCTTTGAAAACTTTAAAATATTCTTTTGATGAATTTTTAAAAATCACTTTTAATCATTGTCCACACAATTTTTTATATTTATTCTCTTAATGTTTTTGTCATTTTTGTTATTTTTATTTATCTTAAACTGAATGTTTTAAATAGCAACACAATAATCCTCAAAGGGGATACTACATTTTGCTACTTTTTGGGTATTTACTTTGCTTCCATTTTACTTTTTCTTTTCTAAGTAGTGCAGTAATGAATATAGGGTGTAGAAAACACCTTTTTTTAAAAAAATTAGGACTAGTTTGTTTATATGATCACAGAAATAAAATTATTAAGATAAAATATATTTCCATTTGCTTGTAAAAGAGATGAATCTGATCATTATCTAATGTGGATAATATATGTGTGCTTATTGTCTCCCTCAATTTAGCATCAGTAAAATATTTTATCTTGGTTTTTACTATCCAGATTAAATATCTAATGTCTTTTTCATGTCCTGAGGAAGAGAAAGATGAAGAAGAGGATTAAAATTTAACAAAATTCAAAACATTAATAGTAAATTGGGTTAATACCTCAGAAATTCAAAACTGATTCCAAAAAAGCTATGCATAGAATTTTAGCAGTAAAAGGAACTAGAGAGTAACTAACCATCTATTTTTTTTCCATGAGAAACTAGGATAACAGTGAAGATGAATGTCTTAAACCCAAGCAGTTTATTATCAAATGTACAGTCCAAATTTGAAGATAATTTGATAGGCAATTTATATGTCTCACACCATTAATAGATGACCACTTTGTTTCATTCTTTAGTTCTCAGTTGTTTTGAAACTAGTAAGAAATATGAAGTCATGAACAACCAAGGACAGAGAATTTATTTTGCAGAAGACAGAAGTAATTGTTTCCTCAGATACCTCTGTGGACCTTCAAGATCTTTTACCATTACAATTTATGATAACATAGGCCGTGATGTCATAACTGTGCATAAAGCTCTAAGATGTAGCTGTTGCTGGAAAAACTGCTACCTACAAAAGGTCAGTAAATATTATTTCTACATGATTTAGAATGTATTTGAGTTCCTTCAAAAAAGCCTCAGAATTGTGCAGTATATTAAAATATTGGGCTTGGCAACAAAGAATATTCTGGAATGAAATATGTTAGAGAGGAAATTATAATTTGTACCACATACCTGCAGAGTAAGAATACACAACACTGTAAATATTTTTCAGGTAATGAAGATCACAAGATCTTTGGAGTTTTAGAAGTTTTCTATTCTGAAATATTGTGTTTTATATTTGCACTTGTCTGCAAGTTCTTCATAGCTGTCTGATGGAGTGCCAACAACCTAGAGGCTGTGAAGTCCCATCCCATTTTAAGCTGTGTTTCTCAGACTGGTCCTTTGAGCTTTCACTGAGTAGGATCCCTTTCTTTTCTTTCTTGTTAGTGATATCTGGATTCCCTGGATCTCAGGAATTTGTTGTTGTCATTTATTTCATTACACCTGCTTGTAGTTTGAAAAAATGGAGCTATAATTTTTCCATCTACTTTTGATAATAAATTTGATAGTGGTTTTGTTTTATTTAGCTATAATACTTGTTCTGTCCTTTTTTTAATAAATTAATTTTTATTGGTGTTCAATTTACCAACATACAGAATAACACCCAGTGCTCATCCCGCCAAGTGTCCCCCTCCGTGCCCGTCACCCATTCACCCCCACCCCCCGCCCTCCTCCCCTTCCACCACCCCTAGTTCATTTCCCAGAGTTAGAAGTCTTTATGTTCTGTCTCCCTTTCTGATATCTCCCACACATTTCTTCTCCCTTCCCTTATATTCCCCTTCACTATTATTCATATTCCCCAAATGAATGAGAACATACACTGTTTGTCCTTCTCCGATTGACTTACTTCACTCAGCATAATACCCTCCAGTTCCATCCACGTCGAAGCAAATGGTGGATATTTGTCGTTTCTAATGGCTGAGAAATATTCCATTGTATACATAAACCACATCTTCTTTATCCATTCATCTTTCGATGGGTACCGAGGCTCCCTCCACAGTTTGGCTATTGTGGACATGGCTGCTAGAAACATCGGGGTGCAGGTGCCCCGGCGTTTCATTGCATCTGAATCTTCGGGGTAAATCCCTAACAGTGCAATTGCTGGGTCGTAGGGCAGGTCTATTTTTAACTCTTTGAGGAACCTCCACACAGTTTTCCAGAGTGGCTGCACCAGTTCACATTCCCACCAACAGTGTAAGAGGGTTCCCTTTTCTCCGCATCCTCTCCAACATTTGTTGTTTCCTGCCTTGTTAATTTTCCCCATTCTCACTGGTGTGAGGTGGTATCTCATTGTGGTTTTGATTTGTATTTCCCTGATGGCAAGTGATGCAGAGCATTTTCTCATGTGCATGTTGGCCATGTCTATGTCTTCCTCTGTGAGATTTCTCTTCATGTCTTTTGCCCATTTCATGATTGGATTGTTTCTTTGGTGTTGAGTTTAATAAATTCTTTATAGATTTTGGAAACTAGCCCTTTATCTGATATGTTATTTGCAAATATCTTCTCCCATTCTGTAGGTTGTCTTTGAGTTTTGTTGACTGTATCCTTTGCTGTGCAAAAGCTTCTAATCTTGATGAAGTCCCAATAGTTCATTTTTGCTTTTGTTTCTTTTGCTTTCGTGGATGTATCTTGCAAGAAGTTACTGTGGCCAAGTTCAAAAAGGGTGTTGCCTGTGTTCTCTTCTAGGATTTTGATGGAGTCTTGTCTCACATTTAAATCTTTCATCCATTTTGAGTTTATCTTTGTGTATGGTGCAAGAGAGTGGTCCAGTTTCATTCTTCTGCATGTGGATGTCCAATTTTCCCAGCACCATTTATTGAAGAGACTGTCTTTCTTCCAGTGGATCGTCTTTCCTCCTTTGTCGAATATTAGTTGACCATAAAGTTCAGGGTCCATTTCTGGGTTCTCTATTCTGTTCCATTGGTCTATGTGTCTGTTTTTGTGCCAGTACCACACTGTCTTGATGACCACAGCTTTGTAGTACAACCTGAAATCTGGCATTGTGATGCCCTCAGATATGGTTTTCCTTTTTAAAATTCCCCTGGCTATTCGGGGTCTTTTCTGATTCCACACAAATCTTAAAATAATTTGTTCTAAGTCTCTGAAGAAAGTCCATGGTATTTTGATAGGGATTGCATTGAACGTGTAAATTGCCCTGGGTAACATTGACATTTTCACAATATTAATTCTGCCAATCCATGAGCATGGAATATTTGTTCTGTCCTTTTTCATGAGAGTTTGGGGAAGATTCACAAACTGCATTACAACTGCCACCTTCTTAATTTCGTAGTCTTCATTTATATTTTAAATGAACAATATAAATAAATAAATAAATAAATAAATAAATAAATAAATAAATAAATAAATCAGATATGATGGAAAGAAGAAAGGAAGGTAAGAAGGGAAAAAGAAAGGAAAAAAGAGTGAGAAAGAAAGAAAAATACATTTAGGAGAAACAGTGCCCCTCAAACTCTTGTTTCTTAGGCCTCCTAATATTCCTCTGCAGATGGAACTACTTTCATGAGTTTAAATCTTCTCCCAGAATTATTCTGAGTAGTTGTGTAATGCATACATATGTATGAAATACATGTGTCTTATAAACACAATTGGCAGATAATCTTTTACAATTTTTTTGGACGGGGAGGGGCAAAGGGAGAGGAGAGAGAGAATCTTAAACTGGGCTTAGAGCCTGACTCAGGGCTTAATCTCACAACTCTGAGATCATGGCTTGAGTTGAAACCACGCTTAACCAACTGAGAGCCACCCAGGTGCCCACTTCTACCATTTTTTAACATATACAATACAACTTGAAGATTACATCAGTATGTCTTGGGCTTCTTCCATTCTTACAAACGGCTGGATAATAATCCATCATGTTTATGGTAGACTGTAATTTAAACAATCAATATCTGAACTAGGTTTTAAATCAAAAGTATTTCAGTGAAATCATATTTACATTTGCATAGAGGGACAAAACTTCCTGGCATATTGGTAATAAAATAATTGTTGGCGGGACCCCTGGGTGGCTCAGCGGTTTAGCACCTGCCTTCACCCAGGGCGTGATCCTAGAGACCCGGGATCGAGTCCCACATCAAGCTCCCTGCATGGAGCCTGCTTCTCCCTCTGCCTGTCTCTGTTTCTCTCTCTCTCTCTGTATTTCTCATAAATAAATAAATAAAATCTTTAAAAAAAATAAAAATAAAAAATAAAATAATTGTTGGTATGACTATAGTTTAAGGCATGTTTTATGGGCATAGCAATTTAAAAAGTAATCTTCATAAGCACCTAAAAATATTATTATCCCCCACTTGCAAATATACAACGAATTTCAGAGGTTTAGTGATATGCCCACATTTCCTGTAGTTAGTGAGCAGCAGCATCAGGTCTCACCTCACGGGTTTCAGTACCTAAATCCTGTGTGTTTTCATTTCCATGTCCACTCCTAAATATAGGGCATGCCTTAAACACAGAAAGTTCCATTCATATATGTACAAAAAGCTAATAGGTAACAACTAATTTGTTGCTCACAAATCAAACAGATCTCATTTGATCAATACTGCATTTGTCTATCTTTTGTAGCTAAAAGTTGAGGCTCCTCCTGGTGAAAAAATTGGATATGTGTACCAATACTTTCACCCATTTTGGCCAATGTTTAAAATTAAAAATGCAAATAAGGAGGATATAATGAAAATCAGAGGACCATGTGTGGTTTCCAGCTGTCTCACGGATCTAAATTTTAATGTGAGTAGTTATGTTTTAAGATAATCATGCTAAAAAAAGATAATCATGCTCAAATTTGTTATTTGGTTATTTTGCAATACATTATTAAATTTGATTAAGATAAAATAAAAACATGTTATCATGATGTTATAAGTATTTGACTACTTTTTAAATTGAATATCTAATATAGTTTCCTTGCAACATTGAGTCCTACATGTTTATGCCACTTATAAGACATCTTTTTAAGCTATATTTCAAGTATATGGTCACCAAATAACAAATTTGCTATTTAATATTTGAAGGAATATTGAAAGAGAAAATGAAACTTTATTGCAATGAACAATGACATACTTGGGCATTAATTATAAATAACATATTAATGTTAATTTTTATAAAATCCTGAAACTTATGATACAATCTTGTTAGATTATTTTTTAAATATTTTGTTTATTTATTTGAGAGAGAGAGAGCACATGCACGTACAAGCAGGAGGGAGAGAGGTAGACAGAGAGGGAGACGCAGACTCCCCACTGAGCAGGGACCCTGACTCAGGGCTTGATTCCAGGACCCTGAGATCATAACCCAAGCCAAAGGCAGACACTTAACCAATTGAGCCACTCAGGTGTCCCCAATTTTGTTATATTTTTATGTGCTTACTGACATATTTCTCAAATTATGGCCAATATTCAGATAATAATTTGGAAGGTTAACTACTAAAAGTACTAAATATAGTTAATAAAACTATACGACCCACTACACTTAGTTAAATATGGATTCCTCAGCAGCAGAAACTATTGTCTCAGTTTGTTAAGATATTTGATTTGGAAAAAGTACTGTTTCTCAATCTTTTATTAAGAACGTGTTTGCTTTTTTTTTAATACCTGAAATGATTACCTGATTTTTTTCCTTCGCTAAAGCTATATTAATTCAGTTTTGTGATACTGATTCTGATTGGCACCTGCATGTACAATTAAGTAAAACATATTTAAGCAAATGAATTATGACAATAATATAGTTAGTTTGAAAAACTTGAATAAAACCAGCACACAAGACTACTCTTCTGTATTTGAAGCTGGAAACCAATGGAAGAGAGTGGCCTATGCATAAAACTCTGGTCGCCAAAGCTATCTTGGTTCATTATTAATGATATCAAAAAATAAATTGCTTTCTGTGTATTGTTTTATATCTCACATCATAATAAATCCTACTTTATTCAAAAATCTTCAGAACTTTCTCTGAGGTGTATAAAATATTTCCTATTATAAGTTTGAAGCAAAGTCATTTCACAGCTGGCATTTTTGAGTAAGCTCTAAGAATGAGGAACAAAGGGAACTTTTTTTCACAAAGAACAAATGAGGAACAAAGAACTTTTTTTCACAAAGTTCTGTGAAAAAGTCATCTTATGTATGAATGTGGGCAACCCTTGCAATATTTTGGTAATAAGGAAAGAGATAAAGCAGTAACTTGTTACAGGCAAACTATGGTAAAGGAAATAAGCCATTCATCACAGGAACAAAATTTAAGAAAGCACAAAAAAACTTAATAATTAAGATAAATGATACTTGAATGTAATCTTTTTAAATCAAAACTAATGCAAATCCATTATGAACAGAATTTATTAAAAAAATTTAAGTGAAGATAGAAACTAACTTTACACTTGTATGACTTGCCTCATTGCTTTACCCTACCCCTCTTCCTGGCTGAATGGGGCCACAGGTATTAAAAGATATTTTTATGAAAGGTATGTTCTTAGTATGTTTTGATTTTAAACGAAAGGGGCCAAATGGGAGGGAAAATGTAAAGAAACTGCAGATGTCAAATATTTGATGAATCCTGTCTCTTGCTTGGTATGGGACTAACGCACATGTAGGAAATAACCTTCATATGAGTGCAGAAATAGTCCATTCGTCATTAACAGGAAGGAAGTAGGAAGTGTTGGCATGGATACAACAGTATATACACATACACTAATATGTGTATTTTTTCAATAAATATACATACACTAATGTAAATATATTTTCTCTTATGACTTTGTTAACATGTTCTTTTCTCTCACTTCCTTTATTGTAAAAATATAGTATATGGTTCATATAACGTACAAAATATGTGTTGATTGACTGTTTATGTTATTAAGTACAATGACTTTCTAGGGTTAGCTTCTGAGATTTTAGCAAATTCCTGTCCAAGAGCTTCTATTATCTCCGCAATGTAAAATATAGGATCTTTTCCTAAGGATGAGGGGAAATGGTGGTGTCAGGTATAAAAACACTGGAGAAATTTTGACAAAGTTACGCAAAAGTACTTTCCCCAAATTCCTTAACACTATTTCCAAGGCTATGTATAATACATCACTGCATACCTCTCTCTTCTCACTCATTTTATGCCACTAGCTCCTTCCCTCACTTTGTTCCAGCTATGTTCCTCCCAACTCAGGGTCTTTTCACATGTTGCTGACTCTCTCTAGGATGCTGTCACTCTCCCTACTCCTGTGGCCACTAATTCCTACTGATCCTCTAAGTCCCAGCTTAAATAGTGCTTTGCCCAAGAGGTTTCCTCTAAAATCATTCCACCTGTTTCTTTTGGTCTATTATCTCCCTACTGTATTCCATTATATCACCTAACTTTACCCTCATGGCATTTATTACCAGACAAGTGGTAGGATTTATCACAGGTTTGTGTCTTCTACCTACATGGGTATCTCCTATGTTGAGAAATAAATATGTTAGTAAGAGAAGTAAATAACTAAATATTAGTTAGTAAGGGAATTTAGATGAGTAGGGAGAAAATGAAAATTTCTTAAGAAAGAGTTTACTGTGTAAAAGAGCTGAAAAGCTAGTGGTTTTCATTTGTAATTAAGTTGATTTTCAGGTCAAATTTAAGCAAATTATATTTATTAAGCATATATATTATAATTTATATGTTATCATATATAAAATACCATATATGTAATATACAGTTGACCTTTGAACAAGTTTGAACTACACAGATCAACTTACATGCAGATTTTTTTCCAATAAGTATATATACAGCACTATAAAGATATTTTCTCTTCCTTGTGATTTTCTTAATAACATTTTCTTTTCTCTAGCTTACTTTATTGTAAGAATATAGTACAGAACACATATAACATATATCTATTAACTGACTATGTTATCAGTAAGACATTCTGGTCAACAGCGTGCTATTAGTGGTTAAGTTTGGGGGGAATCAACAGCTTTACACAGATTTTCAACTGCCCAGGGCTGTCAGCACTCCTAACCCCTGTGTTATTCAAGGGTGAACTGAATAATCAGTTGTATACCATCAATTTGAAAATCTCCTTTCAAGTAGATATTGTCTATAGGTGTTTTTCCAAGCTATTATGTGCCCATATTGCACAATTTATTGCAGGATATAATCAGCATGATTATAACTCATATGTGTCATATTTAATTACTAAAATTGATATAGGAATACCTATTTTTATTTCAGAGATTTTTCTCTAAGGTTATTATTTTTTTCTTTTAGTTATTGTCTCTGGATGAAGAAATAGTTATTGGTAAGATTTCAAATACATGGGCTGGATTTACTAGGGAACTATCTACCAATGCTGATAAATTTGGAATCCAGTTTCCACTTGATCTTGATGTTAAGATAAAAGCACTGATGCTTGGAGCAAGTTTCCTCATTGTGAGTCTGTTTTTATTCTAGTTAGCATAAAATGGCATTTTCTGAGATTGCCATTGAACCTTTGCTGATATTTTTCCTAAAATCATCTACATTGACTGCAAATTGTGCTTTTTGGGTCTAGTTCTAAGCCCCCAAGATATCACAGATTCAGTGTTCACATTGCAAAGGATGTAAAAACTAGAGTGTCCTGTAAATGTGATCACTAAAGTTGAAATCTTTTTCCTTGATGAAAAACAAGACTAAATTGCTGAAAAAAAAAATGGTTTGTTCATTGTAACCTACTGTTATTTCCTACAATTTAAAATGTTATAAGTTTTTTTTTGCACATTTCACTTAAAAAATAATCATCATTAATTTGGAAACTATGGATATGTAGACATTGTGAAAAGGAAAATATTACTCTTGATTATAATTGGGTTTTAGGGGAAAAAATGAACATAAGAATTACTTTCATTCTGTAAATATTTTTTTTAATTTTTTTTAAATTTTTATTTATTTATGATAGTCACAGAAAGAGAAAGAGAGAGAGGCAGAGACATAGGCAGATGGAGAAGCAGGCTCCATGCACCGGGAGCCCGATGTGGTGGGATTCGATCCTGGGTCTCCAGGATCGCGCCCTGGGCCAAAGGCAGGCGCCAAACCGCTGCGCCACCCAGGGATCCCTCAATCTGTAAATATTATTAAATTACAGAAAATGGTAATAGATATATGCAGGGCTAGGTCAAACACTGTCTTGTATATAGTATTAAAAATTTGGAGAAACAAAAATAAACAGATTAAATAGTAGATTGGAAATAGCTGAAGAAAAAGTAAACGAAGAGCTACAATTGAAAAAAAATGATTCATAACATAGTAGAGACAGACAAAACAATATGAAAATCAAGAGTTCCAATATGATAGGATAGAGAACAGATAACTGCTAAAAAAAATTTCAGAGCCAAGAAATATGAATTCAGTGATGGTAAAGGACAAGTACCCTAAGTAATGTAATAAAAATTAACATCTATATAAATCAGAGTGAAACAGAATAGAAAAGGAACATAAGTAACCAGAAAGGGAAAAGACAGATCACACACAAGTAATGAGACTGACAATTGATTTCTCAATAGAAACAGTGGAAGCCAGAAAACAAGATAGTTAAATCCTTCAAAATACTTATTAAAAAATAATCTTAACTCATGAATTCTATTTTCTTCAAGACTATACCTTAAAGATAATAATAAACAAATTTGCATTTTAAGAAACTCACACTTTTACAGTACATAGATTGTTATTAAGTGTTTATAACCCTTCAGGAAGAAGGAACATGGTCTGAGAAGGATCATTTGAGATTCAATAATATCAATGATATTATGAAATAAATATCTGAAATAAAATGCTAACCATATTTGTGAATGTAAACACATTCTAAAAAAATAAAATAATAGTAAATGTCTAATTTGTAAAGTCAAAAAAGCAAAAACAAAAATATTAGCTAATAAAAGTTTATCAGTTATAAGAAACTTATTAGAATTAAAATATTCTAAGGTCTTTGTATTGTTCAGGAGATGAGTTAAGTTTAATGTGCATGTTAAAATGTCATAGATAACAACTGAAATAACAAAAAGACTGTAAATTTCAAACTAATACAGAGGAAAAATGGGAATAAAAGACAAACATCACATAAACAAAAAGGAGAAAAAAAAATCAGAGGAAGTGAGGCAAATAGAAATAGAAAATTAAAATGGTAGAAAGAATCCCTGGGTAGTTCAATCAGTTGAGCATCCAACTGATTTGGTTTCAGCTTAGGTGATGATCTCATGGATCGTGAGATTGAGCCTTACATCAGGCCCTGCACTTAGCAGTTTGCTTGAGATTTTCTCCCTCTGCCCCTCCCCCCACTAGCATTCTCTCTCTCTCTCTCAAATAAATAAACCTTAAAAAAATAAAATAGTAGAAAATATCAATTCAGTTGTATCAAGAGGTATCAAGAGGACTTTACAATAACCACAATAAATGTAAATGAGAAAAACTTGCAAGTTAAAAAAAATTGTTAAATTAGATTTTTAAATTACCTATAGGCTCTTAATAGGAAATAAATCCAAAATAATGACAAAAACTCGAAAGAAAGAAAAGATTGGTAAAAGTATAACAGAAAAATACTAACAATAAAAGCTAGTAAAGCTAAGTTGATACCAAAAAAAAATCAATTTTAAGTAAAAAAAAAAATTAGTAGGGACAGAGATAGAGAAGGTAACTACATGATGATAAAAATTCTATTCAGGGGCAGCCCAGGTGGCTCAGCGGTTTAGCACCGCCTTCAGTCCAGGGTGTGATCCTGGAGACCCAGCATCAAGTCCCAGGTCGGGATCCCTGCATGGAGCCTGCTTCTCCTTCTGCCTGTGTCTCTGCCTCTCTCCCTCTCTGTATCTCTCATGAATAAATAAATAAAATCTTCAAAAAATTCTATACAAAAGAAAATAGTAATTCTTGACTTGTGCATACCTAAGATCAACCTAAAAATACAGAGAAAAATGTTACATAGTTAGAAAGTGGTAAACTCATTATCATAGTGGGAAATTTATGCGCCCCTTTCAATTTTTTTCCTGCTGTAGGAGACAGAACCTTAGTAAAATTATTCAAAATTTGAACAAAAGAGTTAACAAGCTTGATTTAATGGATGCATGTGGAACATTGCATTAAACAAGTAGATAATATAAGTTGTTCTCAAACAAAGGTTTTTACGAGACCTATTCCAATAATCAATCCAAGAAACAAGTCTCAATGAATATCAGGAATTGGTATCACTTGGACCTTGGTATCAGGGCAAATAACGTTATATTAGAAATTGATAAGGATAATTATTTTTAAATATTTTGTATATGTGGAAATGGATATATAATTCAGGGATAAAAAGTACACAATAAAATTTTAAAATATATGTAATTGCGTAATAACTAAAATATATCAAAGCTTTTGGAATGCAAGTAAAGTTAAACATCAATGTATAACTATAAATACTGATGAAAAGAAGAAAAGTGGAAAATTAATAAGCAAAATATTTATCTCTAGAAAGTTAGTAAAAGAACAGAATAAACCCAAAGGAAGTATAAGGAAGGAGATACTGAATTATTAAGCAAAGAGAAATGAAAACACAGCATCCACCCCTAGTCTCTAGATGAAGAAGAACTTTTAAAGTAAATCACAAAGTAATAGGCTACTAAATTAGAATATTTTAAACTTCTTGTACCTTAAAAAAACTATAATATTAAATATTCAATAGTAAACAATAAAAGTAAGGAAATATATGCTTCAGATTTGGCCAAGGAATAATATCCTTGTACTAATATAAATGTTATTTAAGTGAGAAGAAAAATATCAAATTCCCAAAATGTAAAATGAATATAAAAAAAGTAATTCATACATCCACAAAAGAGGGAATACAAATAACCCATAACCATAAGAAAACATTTTCAAAAACATATGAAGAGAAGAAAAAAAGAAAAAAAATGGAATATCCCTTTTCATTTTTCCAATGACAAACTCACAATGCTCATGAGAGTTTAGGAAATCAGACAGACATGAGGTACAGGTACAATTTGGGGGGAACAAACTGAAAATATCCATTAAAGTTTTTAATGTTCATATTATTTCAGATGCATTACTTTCTTCTGAAAAACTGATACAGATGCAGACATATAATTAGGTTTACCCTAGTAAATAGCAATGTATACTCTATGTAGCAAATATCACTCTAATAAATTTTAAAAAGCTAAAACAACCTAAAATTTGAAGTATGAGATTAAACACTTTAGGACATAGTTCTAAAACAGAACATTAAAGACTCAAACTATATATTACAAAAAATGAGTTTTTTTTTTTAAGATTTTATTTATTTATTCATGGGAGACACACAGAGAGAGAGGCAGAGACACAGGCGGAGGGAGAAGCAGGCTCCCTGCAGGGAGCCCGATGTGGGACTCGATCCCAGGTCTCCAGGATCAGGCCCTGGGCTGAAGGCGGCGCTAAACCGCTGAGCCACCCAGGCTGCCCAATAAATGAGCTTTAATGGCATGAATACTTACGATATATTATGCAGTGAAAAGATTAGGATATAACCATATTATAATACTAATTGTGTGTGTCTAGAAAGAATGTGAGTCAAATTATTAATGGTAGATTCTATGTGGATTGAAAATATAACTTTTTCCCTTCTCTATTCTTACACTTTTTTATATTGAGTATATATGATGAAAAATATATAAATAAAATGAAGTAGAATTAGCTGGTGTTCTCTAAGGGCCTTTATATTCAAATTTTTTATTTTAGTGTGTTTGAAAGTAGTCACACACAACCTATGGGGTTCCTCATAGGTCTGATCTTCAGCATTCTGCTTTAATATGTTTTATAAACATGTTATTATAATACAGGACCCCAAAATCATTCTCATGTCTTAGATCTACTATTAAACCAACCTAATTACATTTATTTTTTCATTTTTATTCTAGGACTACATGTACTTTGAACTCTGGTCATGAGTTTCATCAGCTTTCAGCAAAATTAAACAACGTTCACTGAGAATATTTAAATGAAGTTTTATTTCACTAAAATTATTTGTATAATTTTTTCTGAATAAACCACACCAAAATTTAGGAACTTAAAGTAATATTGTATTTATCCTGGGATTCCGCTGTACAGTTCTCCAGGTTAAGACCCGGATCATACTCTTCCATGTGCAGTCAGTTAACAGATTGGCTGGGAACTGTATCATCCCAGATGGCCTACCTGTTGTCAGAGGCGATAGGAGCAACAAGTCACATATTTTTCATCATCTAGGAGGCTAGCCAAAGCTTCTACACATAAACTATGTTACAAAGCATCAAGAAAACAAACTTAAGTGTTCATTTCAAGCCTATGGTTCAGTTATAATCACTAATGTCCCACTGGCCAAAGCAAGTCACATAGCCAAGTCCAGATTCAATAATGGAAAAATAGACTCAACTTCTTTATGGGCATCACTGCAAAATACTATGGCCTTTTTCAAATCTCCTCCCAATTGAACATTGTATAATGTCACAATTAATGTGACCAATAGTAAGTGTCACAATTATTTCATCCTCTCCACATGCCAAATATCCTCTTGGGACTCCCAAAGGTCTCTTTCAATTATGGCATCAGACTTAAGTCCAGTATCACATGATCTGCATCTTCTGTGAATCTAGATGAGGTATATGCATCAGCTCCTCTTGATTCAAAGACTTAAAACTAAAAAGATACACCTACCATTCAATAGTGAGCCAAGATCAAATAGCCACAATAAAAAAATGGAATTCTTATTCATAGCAGTCACTGGTCAAAACCAACTTTAGCATTCAAATGGACATGAGTTGCCAGTTCCCCTTACTGTAGAGACAGAACATTCTGCCCTTTGGACAGTAGCTTTCTAATTTCTAGTTCATTGTTCTCCAAGGCTGTGTCCTCTGGGATTTTGGCTCTGTCTTCTGAGACATTTTTTTCCAAATGAAATGGCCATGGTTTTTTGTTTGTTTTTAAATTTTATTTATTTATTCATGAGAGACAGAGAGAGAGGCAGAGACACAGGCAGAGGGAGAAGCAGGCTCCATCCAGGGAGTCTGATGTGGGACTCAATCCCAGAACTCCAGGATCACACCGTGGGCTGAATACAGGCACTTAACCACTGAGCCACCCAGCCAGCCATCCCAAATGGCTATGTTTTTAACTGAGTAGAATTTGCAGCCTTTTGCCTACCTACAGAAAGTTGGAGACAGAAGTGTCTTTTCATTTTAAACAGTCTCAATCTCTTCTAGACTATACTTGCCCTACTCTCCTAAAAATTGTGTGGCTTTTCACATATAAGATCCCATCCATTTCACTGGAAAAAACCACATCTACTTTTCTTTTTAAGAGAGGCCTCTGTGTCTTATTCATGGCTAGTCTAACTTCTTTAAATGATGGATGAGTTTCAAAAGTAGCCAGAGAACACATTCTTATGCACAAGCACTTTCCAAGCCTCTCATTGTAATGAGGTTGTTAGCATCCCATTGGTTAATTTAAGACACACAGCTAAATCCACATTCAAAGGATGTTGAAAGAAATTTCACTCCTTAATGGAAGGTGCTGTGGACGTTTCTTTACAATCTTCCACATTATTTGAGAGGTGATTTTTCTTGATTTATGTTTGCTATTAACTGTTTGTGTCCCCCAAAACTCATATATTGAAACCTAATACCCAGTGTGACAACAGTATTTGAAGGTGGCCTTTGGGAAGTGATTAGGTCATGAGAGTAGAGCTCTCATGAAGGGCACTGGCACCCTTTCACAAGAGGCACCAGAGAGCTACCTGGTCCTTTCACAGTGTAAAATTATTGCAAGAAAACAGCCAAGTATGAATGAGGAAGTGATTCATGCACTTCCTCACCAAGCACTGAACCTTTCTCTTAGACTCGCCAGCCTTCAGAACTGTGAGATATACATCTCTGTTGCTCATATGCCACTCAGTTCATAGTATCTAACACCCTATACTAAGGCAGTGTTACCTATGAAACAGCTTTTCACATGTGATCTTATTTTTCAATTCTATCTCATTGTGTAATTAAGTAATCACTATTTATGATGCCTTTTAGATATGGCTGGTTTCAATGACAGCCAAGTTCCAAAGAACAGGCCATCCTACACCAGAACTACACAGATACTGTCCTAAGGGAAGCAAAAGAGATAAAGACTCAGTGAAATGTAATAAAATATGAGGCCTATTTCCATTCAAAGGTGACTTTTCTTCCTTACAAAAGTGTCTGAATAGAACAGCCCTTGTCACAAGGGCTTGCCATTTTATGTTATGGATAAATCCTATCCTAGTAATAGAGATCTCCGCTGCAGAAGAAAATAGCAGGTTTTCATTCACAAAAGCTCATGCTTAGAATGGATGTTGAGTAGATCATTCTAGAAAGATGGAATAAAAAATTTGAACAAGTCAGCAGTGGCTCATCTTGAGAGTCATGTACTGACTGCCCTTCAGTGATGCAGAGGTAAATAGACCCATGTGTACTCCTAAAGATGTACATTGGGTAACATCTGTGTAAAAGAGATTAACATATAAAACACCATATTCTCCTGCCTTCCAGAGGACTACAGGTTCTTAACCTATGAACTTCTTCAGTTTTCTTTTCTTTTCTTTTTTTAAGATTTTATTTATTAGGGAGAGAGAGAGAGAGAGAGAGAGAGAGACAGCGCATGAGCTGAGCCTGAGACTGACCCAGGGCTGAATCCCAGGACCCAAGGATCATGACCTGAGGCAAAAGCAGCCTCTTAATAGACTCAGCTACCCAGATACCACCCTTCCCCCACCCCTAATTTTCCATACTTTGTTACATTCTCCAGGAGTCTTAACAAACTTTTAGTAGGCGAATGGCCCACACATCCTCAGGTTAAAAAAAAAAAAAAAAGGCACATAATGCTGAATCTCTTACCACACTGGTGAGGAAAGACTTGGAACCAAGTTAATTTAAAGAAGAAAATTAACATGATTTTTCACTCCCAAATTTTGTGGAGCAATTTCAATTACAAATTCTCTGTCTCATCCACAGTTCCTTCTGTGAAACTTATCTGTCTACAGCCCCTGGAAGACACACCTACTTTTCTCTCTCCATCCAGGTCTGATTGGATTAGGCTTTGACATCACTGGGGCAAGGTACTCAGCCCCTCTAAACTTTATATGTGGTAAAACTACCTGTATGTTAAAAGTACCTGCTTAAAACACAGTTTGGAACATAAAATTAGGGAATTTTAGCACAATGCATGGTACATACTAAATGCTTAGTATATTAGCACTATTACGATACATTTAATCAAATGTTGATAGCTCATATAGTCACATATCCACAATGTAACATTAGTATATGAAGAATATTAATACACTATTCACAAACTGATATCATGTTTGTTTGACTCTGTTTATAGAGATATAAACATATTTTTTTTTGCACTTTCTTAGAGTTGTTAAGAGGATGTTAAAAGTGAATATTTCTGCTTTTGTTTTGGTCAGGCTTCCAAAGTCTAAGCACAAAATATTAAGATTCCAATGCAAGTCTAAACTATTTAGATAGGATATGTTCCATTCCAGTACAAGGTTCTAAACTATTTAGGTAGGATATGTTGGAAAAAATAAACTTGTTTTCCGCTCACAACTTAACAAATGCATCTCATGCAATTAAACAGTTATAAGAGAAAGAAGAAGATTAAGTATAAGCTATAGTATCTCTTTCTAGTTTTTTCTCCTTTATGCTTTGGGCATGGGGGGTCAGAAGCTAAGAAGACACCACATGGGCATTTTGACACAGGTAAAATGGTTTCAGGGACAAAGTGCAGCTCTATTTTTATAGATGATATGATGCTCTTCTAGCACCCTGAGGATTGGGAGTTCTGACAGCACCAACACCCAGTGTCTTTGGTATGAACATCAACATTCCCATAAAAGGTCATGGTATAGTTGAGGTTCTTTCAGATGATTTTAGAGATAGAAATGAAGGCAAGGGCACAAGAATCAGAGAAGAGCATTCAATGGGGAAACTAACAGGGATAAATTGCATTTTGAAAATACACAGAGTACCTCTAGGGTATACTGTCTGGTGTGAGTTGATGACATTATGAGAACTGACTGGGAGAGTAGTGATATCCTGCTCACACTTGGTAGGAAGCTACTGAGCTAGATGTATTTGAGTTAAGTATTATTGTTATTGATACCCTAAAGAGTATTTTATTTCTATCAGTTATTGAAGGTAACAGCTACATGAACTGGAGTGGTTTGTTGTTGTATTTGTTTTCTGAATGTGAAGCTGCCGAGAAGCAGCATTAACTGGGTGCCTCATTTTTTTTTTCAATTACTGAGTTTGTGAATATCTGGGATCCACATATGCTCACAAAATTATCAGCCAGTGAATACATCTGATAGGGAGCAAATGAGATTTTTAATTGCCTTACAGAACCAATCCAAAAGAGTTTTAGAACAAGCTGACAGGAATTTAAACATGTACTTCAAAATAAGATGTTATTGTGTATAAAAATATATTACCTGTTAGTCTCACCAACTATGCATGTGGATATGACACCCTATCACTTTCTGAGAAAAGTAGATTATACCAGAAAATATTTTCTAAGTCATCTACCAAAATAATCACTACAGATGAGTGCTGCCATTTTTGGGAAACCCCAGTGCTCCTGGCTATTATGCTTCTGGCCATCCACTACAATAGTGGTCCTCAAACTTTAGCATGCATCAAAATCATCTGGAGGGATTATTATAACTCAGACCACTGCACCCCAGCCACAAAGTATCTGATTCTGTAAGTCTTGGTAATAATTTGGATTTCTAAGTTCCCGGGTGAAACTACTGATACTGCTGAGGGGAGCTTTAAGAACTTTTTCAGTAGAATAAATTTCAGCTAGAATTCTGAATTGCTGAAGGGACCAATTTGAGCAGATCATGAAGGCCTATTGTCCATTTTAGAGGACCACTGTAATC